GTTAAGTTAAATAAGTTAACTTTCATAACTTGCCAAATTTTTGCTGACTTTTGAATTTTGTGCTAGTTTCCAGTTTATAGAGAAAGATAAACAGCTGAAAACAAAGTTGATAAAGAGCGAGAGGCAAAATAGATAGATGTTATTGCTGATTCGAGCATTACTTACCTTTAGATCTTTAGTTATATTATTTTAATATGCGAACCAAAATAAAATAATAAAGTTGTTACTGGTTTTGGCGACCTTTCCATATTCTAAATACTAATATTATTATTATTATTTAAATAATTAATATAATAATATATATAAATAATATAAAATATACTACAATAATTTAGAATATTTTATAAAAATTCCCGATTCTTAGTTGCAAATTATACCTCAAACAGTGCCCGCCTCTCGCAACCGCAAGAATCAATTTGAATTAATTTTAACCGTATTAAAGTTAACTCAAAAAACTTGTTAACTCATAAAATGGCTTAAAGAACTTTCCAGGCTCCTGGAGAGCAAAGATGAAGTTAAAAATCATCCTGAAATTGACTTTGGCGCTTTTTATGGAGGGCGCGTGTAGTTTTATGATCAGTTGGATGTCCGCCCCTGGCAGCACACTATCTGGTTAACTGGGCATAAAATCGAAAAGGCGTCGGCAGCGGCATCGGCTTAAATGGTTTTATGGCCCATCCTTCACTCCTGCCCAAACCGGAGCTGGTACTAAACGTCGCACATAAAAGTCGTAACGCATAAAAAACAAAGTGCCGAAAGAGTTTTGATGAATGTGCTGCCAAGGCGTTGCGGGGGGATTATGGATGTATCTGTAAAAGCTGTATCTGTATCTGTTATATCTGCATCTGTATCTGTTACTGTATCTGTGTCGGTATCTTTATTTGTATCTGCTTCTGTAAAATTTTTATCTGTATCTATATCTGTGAAATCTGCATCTGCATTTGCATCTGTGACCGGTGATGGGGCAGCGACAGGTTCGGTTAAGCGCCGCGCTAATTGACCATAAATCAGCCTCCGTCCGTTCGAGCATTTGGAAATTTACAGCCCTCGAGGATACTTTGTGTGCACTGCGAAATTCCTTGCGCAAAACTTTGCTAATACAAATTGCATCGACACTGAAGCGGAAGTTGGGAAAATTTCTGTAAAAAACTATCTCCAGCCGGCGACAAAGTGGTCAACATGCCGCAAACTTTGTTAGCAGCAGAGTTGCAGCTGCCAAAACGCGGCACGAAAGATTCTTGGCAGCGAGCCGTGCGGGCGGCGGTGGGTGAGGTAAAAGTTGTTCGCATTTTGCAGAATTCTTCTAAAACATTTTTAAACAATTTAGCACAAGAATTAAAAATCGCAAACGCCGCGCAACATGGCAAAGTTACGCTAGAAAAAAAGGCGAAAAACTTCTGTACGCAAAGTTTTCAGGGCCATAAATTATCATCCAGGGGGTTCGCCTTGTGGGTTAGCGCGGGGGGAGGGGCGGTAGGACGATACCTTTGGCACGTTCGGCACTTTTTTAAACGGATTTTCATCTCTTGCATGGCTTTTCTTTTGCTAATGCCAGCGCCGTAGACTTTTGGCGCCAACGAGTTTGACTTGTACAAATTGCTGTGCCGACATCGACAGCGATACACACACACGAACACACACAGGCAGACGCACACACAGAGACAGACGCACCCGCACGCACAAGTACTGTTTTTTTTTTTTTGGTGGGGTAAAGGACTCAACGTTGTCCTGACACCGCCTCCTGACCTTTTCGCGCAGCGTGTTGTACCTTTTGGCCTGGCCCTTTGGCACTAATGGATTATCTAAGCCTTTTAGTGGCTATTTGGCTATTGGTTGCCGTGGAAATGATTACTGACATCGTCTGATCTGGATTCCATTTGCGAAAGCAAAAAAAACGCTTATAAATAAAATATACAAGCTTGTTATAATCTATTACGCGGTGAGATTTTGCGCTTGTCATATTTAAAACTAATTAAATTCTAAATTTTTTAATCAAAAGCCCTTTAAAAAAAAAGATACATTTTTAAAGAGCCAATGTATAAATCAAGAAGTTTTATCTTAATTTTAGTAAAAATGTTTTAAATTGTGTGTTTGTATGCATCTATGCATCGACCAAATATAATACCGCCATATTTAATTTCCAATTTGATCTAGCAAAAATCTGATGAGATTTGACCAATTGTATAAATAGTGTCTATGAGGTGTGTGTGTATGTTTGTGCGTGTGTGTATTTATGTGTGTGCGTATATATGTATGTATGCATGCATGTCAGTTGTCTTCTATACCAATAGCAGACCAATTTGACTTGTTGCGAGGCAAGTTTGAATAAGAAAACGTATTTATTAAAGCTGCTCTCCTCCTCGATTCTCAAAAATGTAAGTAAGGCCTGCAGGCTTCACCTATGAATTAGGCGCAGGCGGCTTCAACGCTGGAAGCTGAGGAGCCGGAGGAGGAGCACCAAGGGGGCGGAGCTGGAGGCGTAGGTATGTAGGTATGTAGGTATGTAGGTATGTAGGTATGTAGGTATGTAGGTATGTAGGTATGTAGGTATGTATGCATGTATGTATGTATGTATGTATGTATGTATGTATGTATGTATGTATGTATGTATGTATGTATGTATGTATGTATGTATGTATGTATGTATGTATGTATGTATGTATGTACGTATGTATGTATGTACTTGTTGCGAGGCAAGTTTGAATAAGAAAACGTATTTATTAAAGCTGCTCTCCTCCTCGATTCTCAAAAATGTAAGTAAGGCCTGCAGGCTTCACCTATGAATTAGGCGCAGGCGGCTTCAACGCTGGAAGCTGAGGAGCCGGAGGAGGAGCACCAAGGGGGCGGAGCTGGAGGCGTAGGTATGTAGGTATGTAGGTATGTAGGTATGTAGGTATGTAGGTATGTAGGTATGTAGGTATGTAGGTATGTAGGTATGTAGGTATGTAGGTATGTATGTATGTATGTATGTATGTATGTATGTATGTATGTATGTATGTATGTATGTATGTATGTATGTATGTATGTATGTATGTATGTATGTATGTATGTATGTATGTATGTATGTATGTATGTATGTATGTATGTATGTATGTATGTACGTATGTATGTATGTACTTGTTGCGAGGCAAGTTTGAATAAGAAAACGTATTTATTAAAGCTGCTCTCCTCCTCGATTCTCAAAAATGTAAGTAAGGCCTGCAGGCTTCACCTATGAATTAGGCGCAGGCGGCTTCAACGCTGGAAGCTGAGGAGCCGGAGGAGGAGCACCAAGGGGGCGGAGCTGGAGGCGTAGGTATGTAGGTATGTAGGTATGTAGGTATGTAGGTATGTAGGTATGTAGGTATGTAGGTATGTAGGTATGTAGGTATGTAGGTATGTAGGTATGTAGGTATGTAGGTATGTAGGTATGTAGGTATGTAGGTATGTAGGTATGTATGTATGTATGTATGTATGTATGTATGTATGTATGTATGTATGTATGTATGTATGTATGTATGTATGTATGTATGTATTTATGTATGTATGTATGTATGTATGTATGTATGTATGTATGTATGTATGTATGTATGTATGTATGTATGTATGTATGTATGTATGTATGTATGTATGTATGTATGTATGTATGTATGTATGTATGTGTGTGTGTGTATGTATGTATGTATGTATGCATATTTATGTATGTACGTTTATACGTACTTATACGTGTATGCATATGTACATGATTGTAGGTATCCGAACAGGTATTCATACATGTTTGCATGTATCTACAAACAGGCATCCATATACCATATATGCAAGCTTAACACTTCGCCCAAAAAATATTTGTATATAATTTTCCACCGAGTAAGAATGTATTCTGTAAAAAGTGTGAAACACGTATTGGCAATAAATTTGAACCCGAAACGCCACCCACCAAACCTTTGACCTCCATTTCCACCAAGGAGGAATGCACTTTTCGAGAATTTTCCGAAACCCCGTCTGTGCTTTCATCACATAACTACATCGATAATTTCAGCTTCCCAGCTCTTATGGTATGGGCTGAGCGATGATCACCAGTCCATCAGTCAGTCAGTTTGTCAATCAGTTGGTCAGTCAGTCAGTCGGTCAGTCAGTCAGTCAGTCAGTCAGTCAGTTTGTTATTCAGTCATTCAGTCAGTCAGGGTAAACAGAGTAATATATGTATAGAGATTTGTTGACTACAAGACTCAAAGACAGAAAGTACTAGGTCTAAGAAATGTTGTACTTCCACGCATACGTGGAAGTTATGCATACCAGGAAAGCTCGGGCCCAGTAGGCCGCAAGTGCCTCTAGTATAAATTAGTTGAGTCCCTGATATTCCCCTCAATATTCCTCATTCCGAAGAGCGGGCAGACGTGAACGCCGCATTCCTTAAGGGGCAAGGAGCGCTATCAGCGAAGCGCCAGACACAAACCGGCACAAATGTCACTTGTCATCGGGGCACATTCACCGATATGCCGCAATATATATATTTCTATATATAAGGCTGGGCCGTCCGACGGATTCCAGACGCACGTATCTATAATTACGACAAGGAGGCAGCGCTGCTGCTGGTGGCAGCGGCCAGTGCGTGTCTCCGCATACATTTACATACATACAATTACAGTTACAATTACTGCAACAGTCATAAATTGAGAAGTGCATAAAACCAAAATGTGAATCGACAGACCAGCACACATGTGTGCGTATGTGTGTGTGTGTGTGTGTGCACACATAATCAGCAAGGCCGAGAAATATGTGAGATGCTAGCTCGCTCACCCACCAATCTCCCCCATGCCCCATTCACATTTGTTCTCTTCCTCTCTCCATCTCTCTCTCTCTCTCTGTTTAGCGCTCGCAAAAGTATTCTTAGTAATCACGCACACAGACAAATTTTTATATATATTTATTTACAGGGCAAATATTACAGAGATAATGCAAATGTCGAGCGAAACAAAAATTTTCCAATAGCTGCGACGGCGACTGCAGCAGCAGCAGCGACTGCAGCAGTAGCTGTTGCGACAGGTTCAACGTAACAATGAAAAGTGCAGAAGCCACGTGCATAATGGCAATTGGGGTTGGTTGCATGGGGGGGCGATCCGCTTACCTATAAGAAGCATCCTAAGAACGTCAAGACTTCGAGATTATATGCGAATGTGTGTGTAAGGCGCAAAAGTTGTATCTTTTAATTTAGGGATTTTTAAAGATGGGCAAATATTTGTTATGTTTTCTATAGGCTGCCTGCCTTCCATTTCGAAGTCTGTAGCACTGAGGCATGATATGGAAAATATGGACTATTATTAACTATCGAAAATGTACCGTACCTTTAATTAGAACTAATATTCTATATTCTGGCGACAAGTTGTGTCACTTACTTATTGGAGAGTTCATATTATAAATGTCGGGTAATTGGAAGAAGTAAAAGATCATTTTTTCCTGTAGATCTCAAATCCCAATTTCGGACATACATAACTAAATCTACCTACCACGTCCTTTTAAACAGGAAAAAATCTCATTTAAGGGATGAAAAAATAATGGCTACAGGGTAAAAATAGTATTTGAAAAATATATGAAAATACGCTTATTATTATTTTTACAACTCGTAGAAAAAAAGCATAGATCATGTCCTCAAATAATTTTCAGCCATTACAGTTCCCAATTACTGTAGTATTTTTATGTTAATCTATAAACCTAAATATTATGAGTATTATTGTTATGAGTTTAATTAACAGGTTTTTACGACTTAAGGAGGTCAGCTAGATGGAAGCGGGAGACGAGTGGAAATCACGCTTGAGATGAGGATAATGGTCGTTGCTCAATTTACTAATGGGTGCTCCTGGGGCAGGGAGCGAGGGGGTACCTGTTGATATGGCAGCGCCTTGAATTATGCTGATGATGCTCTAATTTGAATGATTATTACGTGTTGATATGCTGCGCAGTCTGTCGTGTTATCTACCTACAAATGCCCAGCAGAGATGACGCTAAGGATTACGGCGGGTTCGGTTATGGCTGGATAAAACAATCTGCCAACCTAAACAGCCTGTGTTACCTGCGTATATACCAGAGCTGCGAGTGTGTGAGTGTGGCTAGGCCCAAGGACACGGTGTTAGGCTGCCTAACAACCCCCATATTAAGCTGTCGGCTAAGAGCTGAGCGAGCAGAACGCCGACGGATGTCGGATGTGTTGAGAACGAGCATGAAAGGCTCCTAGCCCGAGGAAGGCGTCTGACTCTGTTGCTGCCCAACCAGCAGGCTCGGCGGGAGCCAACCAGGCGGCAATTAAGCGCAACCTATTGGAGCACAGGACGCGCTGCGCAGACTCCTGGCAGCTAAGCAGGAGCCACACCCACCGGGACGGCCCGGAGGCGATATTAACCAACAGTTAACGGCCGACAGCGGCCGACCGCAGCTGCAGCCACCCGCCTGGCCCACACACGTTCCAAGCCGAAGCGAAAGTGTGTCAAGAAAGGCGACCCAGCCTGGTTGCGTATACGTATTACCGTTACCTGTCATAGGCAAGTTCCCGTAAATCGTCCGTCTCTGTCGAATGCATGGCAAGGCGTTTGAGTGCGAACGAGTCTGCGTGCAAATGCATTTCGAGGGTTGAGTGAGAGGAGCGAGACTACGAAAAGTTTGTAGTAAGAAGAGTACACGCATCGAAAAGCCGAGAGAAAGTAAGTGGCCGCTGCCCGACGTCTGAGTGTGAGAGAGCGACTGTGTATGTGTGTGTGAGTGAGAATTATTGTGGAGTGTAAGTCAAAATCATACAAGTGGTCTTGTGGAACATAATGGCTGTGCTAATCAGTAAAGAGCTTAATAGGTTGTAGTAGATTAATTTATTAACTGGAACTATTGTAGTGCATACTCGTACTGTACATATGTATATATCATGTGCATGTGTATTTAAATTAATTCTAGAAAAGACTCGCATTTTTGGTGCTCACTTTTCACACATTGGCCATGCCTCCATCTCACTCTTCCATACGCGAGCCTAACTCTTTACGCTATTTTATGTTCTATTCGCTTTCGTTCTTTCATCAACATGCGATTGTGTCGTTTTTTTATTTTTCTTTCTGTATTTTAAACGACGCAATTGACGCCGACTGCGCTGTCGCAGTCAGCGCCGCAAACCACGTTTTTGCGCTACTTAGTTTGTACGTGTGTGCGAGTGTGCATGAGTGTATGTGTGAGTAGCTATGCGTGTCATTTCATACCACATTAGGTAAGGTTAGGTTTTTAATTTTGTTTTCTAACTTCGGGCCGCTTTGTAGCTGGCACTTTGCCAGACATATGTACATATATACATACATATGTGTTTAAGTCGTGTGTATGCGTGTGTATTTCTGGTTTAGCTTCACTTTTGTGGGCGCCATTCTCCACTGATCGCGGGTGCTTCTCTAACTGCTCTCTTTCTCTTTGCACTCCAGACAAACTACTCTGGTTTGTTTACAAAAAACCTTTCGCGTATTTGTGTTTTATTTCCGCTTTCATTGCTTTTGTTTTTGTTTTCATTGCTGCCGGTATCCAACCTGTTAGCTGCACTCTCTGCGCTCTGCCATCATCGTCAGCGCTGCTACTGCCTCTTCCAAATACATACATACATATACATATATATATATTTTCGCGTAGCATGTGGTTTTCTTCAATTCACATGGCATACATATGCAGGTATGTATGTGTATTCATATTATATACACATATCTACATATGTATAGCGGAGTGTCTTCTTATACTCTTTGCTCTTTTGCCTATTTTTATTGCGCTCTACGTCTTGTCTATTTTCGCTTGTGAACTTGAGAGACCACGTGGTTTTATGTTGGCGAGTCGCCAGTTCGTAAAGTCTGTGGATGTGGATGCCAAGCCTGTGCTTGTGGACTGTCGATTTTCGCTGTGGATGCCATTCGGAAGAGCGTCGCGCTCTTTTATCTTAATATCTGGTATCTGCTGTCTTCTAGCAGCATCAGGAAGTGCTTCATCAAATTTACATACACACAAATACAGTTATGCCTCTGTATTTGCGTGTGTGTGTGTGTGTGCCTGTACAACACTCGGCCCCAGGCCCCGGTGTCATTTTAAAACGACGTCATCAGCGAACCCTCCGGTCCGCTCCGCTCCGAGAAGTACCAGTTCCATAGACTTAAACTAAGTCGCACTTTCATTGACGTCTTTCGAGGAGGAGGATGACGGTGGATGCGGGGATATGGGAATGCTGGAAATACAAGTTTTCTTTCAATTGCGTTGATTCTTCGACCGTGCGCTAATGTGTGATTGCATCAATTGCGTCGCTTAATTAATCACAATGCATTAACTTTATTAGCTCAGTTAAAAAAGAAGGTATTACGCAATTTATCGCTGGGCTTGAAGGAGAGACCCATTAAAAAAGATACCAATTTGATTCCTGTTAAGACCGATTAGTATGCTTCTATATTTCGCATAAATAACAGTAATAAATATTTGATTCCTACTCATTTCGCATTCACCACACAGAGAAACAGCCAAATAACCAATCTATATTCCAGTTTAGACTCTATCAAGCCAACAAATTGTTAGTACCCATATTCAAATTGGACTCGCAATACATACAATGACACACACAGGCATACTGAAAGCAAACATTCTTAACACAGACAAACAGAACTCAGGCGAGTTAGCTCTCTTCTCCAGTTGCCCTTCTCTCCCCTCCCTCTCCCCACACCCCAACACCTCTCATCGCATACCAGTCAGCGCACAGGCGAACCATTAAACAGAAATTATAATTTTTTGAAGGCCAGTCGCGGACTGATATCATTACTCCCCATCTAATTCCAATTGAGCCGATGTCGCGCTAATTTTTTACTACGTCGTCAATTGGTGGAGCGGAGCTTTGGACCTGGCTCTGCCGGCGGCGACAGCGGCGCTTGCGCCGTGGTAGCCAACATGAGCGCAGTGCTGCTCGGTACTTTTTGTCCGCTTGTGACGTCACAAGCGCGCAGAGAACATTCGTCACTTTTTTCGCTCGTGAGCAGACGACATTTGACGTCTATGTGAAACCTTATTTAACACCTTGGTTGTGATTAGAAGTCGATGATGACGCCGACGATCAGACTTGAATATTCTACACACGCCTGCTCGGATCTGTTGATCTCTGATTTATATCAAACAAACGTTGGAAAAGGCAAACATTTGCCAATGTATTATGCGTAAATGATAACATTTGTAAGGGTTGCTTCAAAATATTTTTAACAAGTTTAAACTCTAGTCCTATCCGGTTTCACGAACCTTATAAGGTTCTCCAAGAGAAGAGTTTGGTGAGCTCTTGAACTGGTTCACATGCTTGATCATGAACCTGAACAAGTTCGCAACATTTTATGTTCCAGACAATTGGGGTGTAGCGCGACTACAGTCGGGAAAGTATGAATGCCAGATTGCAATGTGACAGAGCACGGATAGAACGGAAAATTGATCTATGCCTCATAAATTCTCATCTGATCACTTTTGCGACTCGCATCTGTGAGCAGTGTCTGGGCCATAAACCGTCTGAGCCTTACTTAAGCTCAAACGTCTAGACTTCATTAGCAGCGTAATTTGTGGAATTTATGTGGCAGTCACATTAAAAACTCAAATGTCCAAGCGAATGAACCAGTCTATGCGACAAACTGGTTCCGAGCGCATGGCGGGCGGGCGGTGCGGAGGTCAATAAAATTCGTGTTATGAATGCGCGTGCCAGGGCATTGCAAAATGCAGCGCTTTCCTTATCAGAGTGCAATTTCGGAAAATTTCCCACAGAGTGTGCGGCGACGCGCGCAGATAACAGTCCTGCCCCATTTGCCGCTTATCAGCAACGGTTGAAACTGGATTTTACTCTGCGCGATTCGCTACCAGATTCAGATCGACTGTCAAGAATATGGCAGGCAAAACAAAATAGCAAAAATTCACGAAAAAATCATTTAAAGCCCACATACACACATGCACAAAAGTATACGCAAACTATAAGCATTATTACTCAATTGATGTCCATGTGTGTGTGAGCCAGAGTGCTGTAAAAATATGTGAGCGCCAAAATACAAAACGTGCATTTTTGTGGAACTTAAATGTAGACTTCAAAACACTCACACACACTCACGCATTTTTAAGAGAGCTTTGTCTCTCGGCGCTCACCATCTATGACCCACACCACTAAGCGAGAGACGAGCCGGGCTGGCTGGCTGCTGGCTGGCGGCTAGCTGTTCGTGTCGCTTCGTCGTTGTCGCTGTCGCTGTCGCCGTTGCCGACGCTGTCGTTTCCCGCTGCTTCGTTTTGTGGCGTTTCGTATACCAATCAGTTGTCAGTTCGCATCCAACTAGAAAGCAGTTAACGAGCAGAGTCCGTTGCGTTTGCGGTTAAAAGCCACGAGGTCGATCAGCGTTAAGCGCGCTACTTAACCCCAACGTCACCAAATTCTTTCGAGCCCTACCCAAGCCGTTTGATCACGTGTTGCCCTCCCCCGCCCCGCTACCAATCGACAATCGTATTAACTGCGAACGATGATTGTTCTGAAAAGTGAATAGTTCTGCAAAATTCCCAATCAAAACATTTACATGTGAATAAGTGAACACAGCATAATACAAAATACAAAATACACACACACACGCGCACACGCACACATACACAAGAGAGCAAGAATAAATACAAAGAAATAGCGTATGAAGAATGCGTAGTAAGAAATTAAATCAAATAGCGTAGCAAGAAGACCTGGAAATGATCTTTTCCCATTGGGGGCTGCCGGCAGCTACGCGCGTATAATCACACACACATAAACACACATATACGCTAGTGCAAAATCAAAATAGCTACTCAAATTCAAATTTGAGTAAAGCAAGAATAAAAAATAAACAGTAAACGTGCTTATATATATGTACATATGTATGTGTACATACGAACATCCATATACATATCAATTTTTCCATTTGAACTTTAAACATACACACAAGCACACACACGTATCTACATATGTATATTATGTATTTATCTACATAAGCTCACACATATGCTTGCTTATGTATATGTGCGCTGTAGATCGTTAGTGTGTGTTTGCGCCGTCGTCGACTGCGGCGCACGCTTTCATTGAATTCTTATACGAATTCCAATTAATTTCTGTATGCGTCCAATTGGCATGAATTGGTGACGTGACGCGATCTCGCGCTCACTCTCTCTTTTGTTTCCACTCCCGCTATTTGGCACCAATGCGCGCGCTCTTCATAAAGCTTTTAAACATATTAACATTTATACATAACTTGCTCTTAGATTTTTTTTGTTGTATTTTTATTATTATTATTCCTTAAGTAAATACAGTTTTAATTTGTATGCTTATAGCTCAAGCAACAGCAGTAGCCGCCCACAAAAAACCAACAACAAGTGTATAAAAACATAAGTGTGTGTTTGTACATAATATACATATGTACATTCTTATCTGTATGCGGAATCGATACACGTAACTGTGTGTGCGTGTGTGTGTGAGCAAGAAATAATGCCAGTTAGCCTTAAAACGAAGCTTGATAATAATTAATACACAAAACCGACAAAAGTTGTGCTCAAAACAACAAAAAACATCGCATTTAAAGAGTTAATAAATGCACAACAAAGAGACTCCCGTAAAAGTGTCGACAACTAATAATAAAGTGTACAATATCAACTAACAACAATAAACACAAGTTCACAAGGAGCAACTACAACAACAACAACAAAAACAACAACAAGAACAACAGCAACCTCATCAGGAGCCAGCAAAGCTTCTACTCCATTTCTGATTAGACCAACACAGGTAAATAAAAACATTTCCATTAAACATGTCTAGAATATTTTTAAGTATTCTGTCCAATTAACGCCTACAAAAGGTTAAATGCGAGACGCTTGTCACCAGGCGGATCAGAGTCGTACTTGATTATGAACTTGTGTGTGTGTCTAGATTATAATTCCAATTGGAGATATTCGATTTTATTGGACTTATCGAAATTGGGCATCTTGTATCTTGAGTATGAACTTGTGTTCATGTTTGCGTGTTTAAATTTGTGTATTTTGTACATATGTATGTTATAACTCCAATTAGAGATCTTGAATTCTATGGGACTAATTAAACTTGCGCGTTTGTTTTACTTGGGTTTAACTTGTGTGCGTGTATGCTGAACTCCAATGGGAGATTTTTGTTTCTATTGGACTTATTGAACTTGCGCTTCTTTTGGGGGCTGCAGAGCTGCGATTTCGATTAGTGAGCATTTTGTTTGAAAGCCCAGTGCAGAGATCTTAATTAGAGCACGGCTGATAATGCGTCTAAAAATAGTACGCGCTGCTGATAGCGTCGACTACAGCGCGTGTCGGTGCGCTGTCGCTGTCGCAGTCGCTGTCGTTTGCTCTTTTTTTCTCTGTTACCCTTCCAGCCAGTGCGACTTATTAGCTACAACACATAGGTCGAACGGCAGAAATCCTCCGGGTTCAAGAACAAATAATAACTTTTTTTTTCCTATTCAGATACTAAATAAATAATCTATGTCCTTTTTGTTGTGGGATTTAAAACAGAGAAAACATAACACTTATTAGAAAAACTTTAGTTTAGAATCGGAATTTAAAGCGCGCAATATTTCTTATAGGAAGTCTTGTCTTGTGGATTTGCGGGAATAATTTCCAAAGTTGTTTTTAAATCTAAATCTGTTTTGTTTTGTTCAGGACTTCAATTCGTTTTTTTTCTGTCGTCGTTTTCTAGTTTCTCAACAGAATATTGACATTGAAATGTGATTAGGTCTAATGATTTTATTAAATGGGTCGATTCTCCGGCGATCAGCGGCGATAAGTGCAGAGCGTGCTTATATAAATGTCTATGTAAATGGCTTATCTATAGCTGCTGGTGGTAGTTGGAACTCGTGTATTTATGGCTCTGCTTGGCCGTTTTGGCATATCTTGAGATTGTGTGTTCAGATAGTGTCTGAAATAGGTTTGCCAAATTATTAATTTTAAAAGCCATAAATCAAACCAATTTATTTAAGTAAATTCAGGGAAAATTTTCTACAAAATACGGTGAGAGATCTTTGGAGGGGAACGCTGCGGGACTAGCGCTGGTAATTCAGCTTTTTTCTAGCCAAGCTGTGTTATTTTATTTTTAAACATTAAATTCAGCTAAATAGTATCAATTATATATACCCTATTTTAAGAATATACTTAAATATTAAGAAAATCAGAAAACAAAATAATCTCATTTAATTTCCAAATTTCTTTAAAACTTTTTTTCATTCTGAAATTATATTTCTATCTTTTGAAAAATTGTGTGACTTACCAACGTTGTATTTTCAAGTGGTTTTCGATTAAAGTTTTTAACAAAAAAGTAGCTTTCGACAACATGCAATGTCACCTCAGGTAAAAATAGTTCATTAGATGTACCTTTATCTATTTATGAACTGCATCTGCCTTAAAAATGATTCCAATCATTTGTTGATCGATCGATTGGCGGTTTCCTATAACCCAAACAGCCTTTGATTAATATGAAAAATAAAATAAATAAAATTCATCTTCTATTTGTCAGCTTCGGTCTGCTCCCCTTCGAGCGGATCGCGCGTGTTTCTCTCTTTGACCTTCCTCGGCACGTGTAAAGCTCCAAAGCCAACAAGTGCGAAAGAGTCGGCGCATTGCACTTTCAATAAGCTTTTATTTGAATGCGCTTCCGCGATAATTGAGTTCATAAATTAATAACAAATAAGATTAGCCTAGGCGACAACGCGATGCTCTACTCTTGCCTACTGCTGTCAAGTCGCATGAGCTAATTGATGTTCCCGCCTGCCGGAAGGGTATAAGCAGCAGCAGCATATGAAAACCAGAATGCGGCGCCTGCGATGACTGACCGCCTCTTTTGGTGCTTTCCCTCTCCATTCCACATTCTCCGTGGGGGAAAAGGCACTGACAATATTGTTGCAGCTAGCGAGAGGGAGAGGGAGAGGAGAGGGGCAAAGTGCATGGGAGCGTGCAGGGTCGAGATGATTTACTTAAGACCAGCAGCTAATGAAAAGTAATGACAGAAGCATGCAAAACTACACACACGCACACATACAACTAAAGATACGTGTGCGTGTGTGTGTGCGTGCGTGTATGTAAGAGGATTGACAATATTTGCAAGAGAAAAAGGCATCTAAAAAAGGTACTTTTGCTCTTTGTGTTGTGATAGGTTTTAGTCCGGGGAATGCCGCGTGTGATAAGCTATATACATATATATATATATATATATAGACAGACAGACATTTGTATAGCTGGGAAAACTGGACTGTTGCTGGCCACAGATAATGTATTCTGTGTGTGTTATCTTAATGCGTGTGTGATAAGAGAGCCCAATGCGAGCGTCGTAAAGCGCCAACATTTTGTGGGCGAATCAAGTGCTGAAAGGCGAGTGAAGCGAGCGGGTTACTAAGCCAGCAACTATCGCCAGGATCAAACATATAATTTTTTACTAGTCGAAAAAAAAACAAGACTTAAGAAATAAATAGATTTATTTAAGTTTCATATTTATCCTATTATGCACTTTATCCAAGCGTTTGTCGAACATTTAATTTTTTATTACCGGTAAAGGAGAAGAAAAAAGAATTAGTTTATCAAAATTCAATTATAAATAAAATTATAGCCCTGTAGAAGAATTGTCAAAAAGAGAATGTGTTTAAAATCTTCAGATATGATTTTTTAACTGATTATATCAAAATTTAGCACAAACATTTTGCTCTGAATTAGTTACCAGCTTTACTTTTAAAAAACATTCGACTAAGATTTTACTGTATTTTACAAAGTTCCACAAGAGAACATTCCTACTAAAATTCTGCAGGATATGAATAAAGTTTCTAAAATTTGTTGCTATGATCCAGGGAAAGAAAGTTATAAAAGCGCAGCTATGGATTTCACTTTCGCCAGATGGGAACGGGAAATGCTAATCGGCGGCTCAATATCAGCCTGGCCTAAAAGGTCGCCCGATCAAGTGTGACCAGAGAGCACTCTGGCCCAATCCAACTGCAACGGTAACAAGAGTGAGCGGCTTTTGGCCCGGCCAGCATCTATGTCATTTACATCTGGGGCCGAGGTGTTGGCCCGGCCAGTCCGAGCCGAGCCGGACCAAGACCAGTTGACCAGTTGACCAGCTGTCAGCTTTATTTTTTTTCTCGTCCGAGGGCCGCCTCTCTCACGCGAGATGCCGTCTTTAAAGCAAAGCCAGCGCTGACATACTTTGCTTAATAATCCTGTTTGACGAGTTATGCCAAGCATGTGTGTGCGTGCGCGTGTACCTGTATGTGTGTGTGTATATATTCTTTATATGTGCGTGTGTGGGTCGATCTTTTACTTCCACGTAACTGAACCTGGCCATGTGTGAGGGGTTGGCTGATTCGGACGCATAATCACATCGCATGAGCATCGGGAGCAGTGTTGTCAAAGTAGCCGAAACCAGGTTTTAAATAGCTACAAAACAGCTGCATTTTGTTATCGGCCCTATAAAAGTAGCCAAATTTATCCAGAAATGATCTGAATTGGCCACACTGTCAGCAATTCTGCTTCTACCCAAAGACCTCTAAAAGTGCCCAAATTTAGCCGAAAATTATCTGTATTGGCCACACTGATTAGGAGAGAGCTAACAGTTGGGATCTACTTGGCGGCCGAGTCTGATAAGCAGCAGATAAATGCTTCTTTCTAGATAGACGCATAAAAAACATACTCTCTAATTTTTTGCTTATCACTTGATGCAGCCAAACTCTAAATACATCTGTGTGTGTATTTTTACTCTTCATATTATTAGACAAAAAAAAAAACAAAAAAGAATATGTAATGCGTTACAAATATTTCGTAATAAGTTTTTAGTTATACTCTAACCGGGCTATTATAACTTTTACACGAAATGTGAGTCGCATTGACTTTATTGAGTTTAAGTCCCTGGGATTTTATCTATGTATATTTGGGAGAATATATGGGAGGAGATTGCCTCATCGGATATGCTGGAAGATAAAGGAATTATCTGTCGAAAACTTAGTTTTTCCATCCAAAATTTGTTCTGCTTTTCATGCTATCTTTACCAAAAATCACACTACCTTATCGTACAGCTTTTAAAACAAAGGGTATTCGATATTCGCCCAGTTCTAGTTTTCTGTTTTTATTATGTGTGCGTTTTTTGTTGTTTATTGCTTTCATTTTCTTGTTTGCTCGCCACTTGTTTTCTTGCCTTTTATTATTATTATTATTAAATTCTGTTTAAATATTTATTCATTATATATTCTCTCTCACTTTTAAAATAAGAGATCCATAGATTAGTTAAAATTTTCGCTAATGAGTTGCTGTCAAAGTGAACTTTTCCTTTCCGTTTTGCTGACATTGAAAATGCAAATATTTCGTTTCGAGGTACTTTTCTCGATCAACTCACGGCACAGATACGTTTTGGGAAAATTGTGTAATGCACAGAATTAGAACTACGTAGTTTATACAAAATTTCAGATGCTAATTTCTCGCCCACACTCTATTTTTCTGGTTCTTATAAAAAAATTGTGTTATGCTACGCGGCCCACTTTGAGAAACGATTCTGACTCATTTTCAGGTGGTAATAATGCCCGATATGTGTTTTGATATATGTATATATAACGTATATATTTATATCGATTCAATATGCGTGTTATATATTTTTTACTCTCGTCAGCCGTAGGTCTATATGCTTTTTGTTGGGCAGGTTTTGTGTTTTGATGTTGTAAACAAATCACATTATTTAGTTGATATCAAATTAATTTTGCTGGAATTTGATAATGTATAGAAAAACATTGG